TTTTGGGACGCTAAAAATCACAAACTAGTCCCATAAGGCTTTATAACCTTTTTGGTAGGTTTCGAAAGTTTGAAGAAGTTTTTCGAAACCGCTTCATGTGTCATGAGATTCCACTTGAACTTTTACGAATCCTTGTTGTTCCGCGCATGCTCAAACATAGGGTGGGTGGGCGGGAACCTTCCGTGCAGCAAAGTTTGTAGCCATTTTGGCTCAAGGGTGGGTGGGCGGGAACCTTCCGTGCAGCAAAGTTTGTACGGGGGGTAAAAGAGAGTTGTGTAGAACGCGGGCTCCGGGCCAAGCTGTGTGAAACAGGTTTCAGGCCCGTGAACCCCTGGTGTACCGCCTCAGTGGCACATGGGCAGCTTCTCTCGTGATGGCAGAGAAGAGGACGTTTGATGCTGCATTCGAAGGGCATCTTGCTCATGTTGTGCACCAGAATTCTACGAGCAACTCAAAGCAGCCTTGGGAGAGAAGCATTGTGAATGTGCCGAGTGTATTGCCGAAAGCTTTCTTGGGAAGGGGGCGTCTTGGGAATGTGCTTACTCATACGGCTGCTGCTCCTGTGAAAGCTCCGAGTGGCCCGTCGGCTATAAATCTGACTGCTACTGGAGGCAAGCTGCCACGGAAGGTTGGGCCTTCCTGGATTCAGAGACAATCGGATAACAGACATGCGGCTGTCATGAAGTGGCTTCGGATTGCTAAAGAGGGTGGCGACTTCTTTGGGGTCTGTGCTAGAGTGGCGGAAGATGCTGAAGCTGGATTGCCAGCCTCACTGCAGGAGTCTCTAGGAGATGTTTTCTCACTCAAGGCGAGCAGTACGCTTCACAGCAGGGCTGGCCCGGTCCTGAGATACATGGCATTCTGCTGGCGCATCAGAGAGCAGCCTTTCCCTTTGTCCGAGCAGAAGATGTATCGCTTCGTCAAGGAATACTGCAGTGGGGCTGCGCCTACCTTTGCCGCCAGCTTTATGAGTTCCATTGGCTTCATGCAATATGTCTTGGAGGCGAAGGTCCCGGCCGATTGTGTTAGCAGCCGGCTGGCTGGCGCAGTTTCGAAGCTCTACTTGGAGAAGAGAAAGCTGCAACAGAAGCCGCCGCTGACGGCTTCACAGATTCGGGCTTTGGAGCGAATTGTGCTGGGACTTATACCTGAAGTCCGTGCGGATGTCGATAGATACGCGGCAGGGTGCTTTTTGTATTGTGTGTTTGCAAGAGCCCGCTATTCGGACATGCAGTGTTCTGGTGAGCTGGCGAAAGACATCGTGCAAGGTGAGCGCGGACCGCGTGGGTACCTTGAAGCGAGGGTCACCAGGAGTAAAACGAGTCACAACTTGGAGCGTAAGACCCGATATCTTGCTATGGTCAGTCCGATATGGGGCCTTGAGCAGGATTCTTGGGCGTTGGCTTGGATGGAGGTGGCTGGCAGGGCGGGGCCCGCATGGGGGCCTGACATGCCCCTGCTACCGTCCCCCACCGACGGTGGCCAATGGCAGAAGGCGCCTATGTCTGCGCAGGCTGGAGCGCGGTGGCTTCGCCACCTTCTCTATCGTGCAGGCGAGGATGTCGCATCGGTCAAGGCCGTGGGCACTCACTCCTGCAAAGCTACGCTTTTATCTTGGATGTCCAAGTGGGGAGATAGTAAGGAGATCAGGTCGATACTCGGATATCATTCTAGTGCCAACGCCGGCACGGATGTGATCTACGCGAGGGACAGCGTTTCCCCTGCATTGCGTGAGCTGGAGGAAATGGTTTCTGCGGTCGCTTACAGGCGCTTCTTCCCCGTAATCTCGCTACTGCAGGGCGAGCGGTGAACGCCGAAAAAAAACTCACGAAAAACCGTCTCAAACCACCACCAAACGCCACCCAAAAAAATACCAAAAAACCACTGCTATTTCGCTCCGTCCTCGCATCCGCAATCCCCCCCCCCAAAACCCAAAAACAATTCCCCTCTTCTTCCCTACGCCACGTCTCGGGCAATATTTTTGCGGAGTTCTTTGGCTTCCAGGGTATTGCTCATTGACAAGGCCTAGGTCGGTTCAGATATTTTTTCTTATCCGACATGAGCGATGAGAGGCAGTGGGGGGGGGGGGGAGAGCCGACACTCTCCGGACAGTAGCATTGGTTTGAGAACCGTGGTCCAGGATTTTGAGCCGAGCGGTTGCCTTCGAGAAAGCCTGGAGGGCAAGGCGGTTTTTCGGCATGTCACCACCCGCTTCATACACTTAGTCGCTTCTGAGGAGGGCACAACTTTTAAGTGTGGCAGGCAGATCACATCGTCTTACTTGGAGTGCAGTGCGATACCCAGGTTTTTGCATCCGATCTGCCGGCAGTGCTTTCCAGAGGCGAGGTGAGGGATCGTAGGCTGGCTGGCTGGAGTGCCGCCATGCGAATTTTTGTGAGCCTCTCATCGTGAGAGCCCGCGAAGGCGGGATGAATATGCGCACGGAATACAAGGAACGCTGTGCTCGGCATTGCAGTGGTCTCAAGAGCCCGGAGTCGCAAATGCCGCCTTGTGATTTCAAGTGAGGGTCGCTCGAGCTACTTTGAAGGTAGACCCGTGCTGAAGGAGTGAGCCATGGCTTCCGCATACTCAGAGTCCGAGCCGGTTCTGGTGTCGCGTCTCTCGAAGGCGGGGTTTGATCAGACTGAGCGTGATCTCATCCTGAAGCACGTTAAGAGTTTGAAGCAGTTGGCCTTCGTGAGCTCTTTTGCTCCGGGGGCTGCGGACGAAGGTCCGTTGATCGAGGCCCTTAAGGCGATGCTTGGAAAGGACCCAGAGATGAGTCAGAAAGCAGCTTTCAGAGCCGTATTTCATGAAGCTTATGCCATTGTCACTTCGGAGATGCGACAGCAGGTCGAAAGGGTAGAGGAACCGACAGTTCGTCATTTGAGTCAGCCCGAGAGGGCTGAGAGAATTGAGCGCCAGCGTTCACAGTTGACTGGCATCACGATAAAGGGTTCCTCGGAACCATCAGAGGCCTTGGTCGACCTGTGCGTCGGTCAGTACGAGGCCAATGTGATTCAGTATGTGCCTTGGTCAAAGTGCACGTCGCGGGAACAAGAGCTCCTAGGCGACGGTAAGAAGGACCTGAAGCTTTCGATTGACGGCGAGAGTGGTAAGCTTAAGGTGGAAAACAAGGCCAAAGATCAGGTGGCCGATACATCCACTGAGGTGATGCTTCTGCAGGCCCTGCAGCGGCGTGCTCTTGCATTCGATCAAGCTAACATTGTCTCTTTCACAAAGCTTGACATGTGGCATCAGAAGTTGATGAAGGCGAGGTTGACTCCACCTCCGCCGGGTTACCAGCAAGTCACATTCACTCAGTTGCAGAATGCAGACTCGAGGCTCTTTCTGGAGCTTCAGGACCATACGCGCACAGGCATCCAGTCGGATGCCAAAGGTCGTCCGATCGATGGCATCATAGATTCAGTCAGCTGCATGCACGAGGTGGTGTCGTTGATGCAGCCGCTACAGGGCGGCCCTTCGTCTTCGTACGGTCCCAGTGAGCCTGCTCGACTGAGGGAGTCACCGTATAAAGGCAAAGGCAAGGGCAAAGATGGCAAAGGAAAGAAGCGCTTCGTTGCCATGCCGAGCGAGCTTCGTGGGTGCAATTCGCACACCGCGAAAGGACATCCGATCTGCTATGCCTTTAACCTGGGGTCATGCCCGAACAAGGTGACCGGCAATAAGTGTGAGAAGGGATTGCACATCTGTGCAGTCCCCAAGTGCGGCATGAACCACGCCGCTATCAAGTGTCCCAAGAAGCCGAAAGATGGCGAGCAGGCGGGCGCTTGACTATCAAGTGCGATCCTGGCCCCGAGTGCGAAAGAGTCGGTGGCCGGGTCTGGGAGTGGCGAAGGCCATTCTCGAGCAATCCAGGAAGTGCTTAAGGCCCATCCCGAAGGGGATGAGCCTCTTTTGAGTGCGCCCGAAGGGGCCCAAGCAATGCCATTTGAAGAGCAGGGATCGAACCCACTCGATCCAAAGGTTCATGCGGACTCTTATGCCGAGGAGCTTCTGTCTTTGGACAGGGATCCCACGGCCCAGGAGTTGATTCGTTTGTTTGACATGCTTCCTCAGGAGCCGCTTTTGAGCAAGACTCGTGACGATGGAGCCGCGGCCTTCTCGACTGGTGCCTACGTGAAGGGGCCTCTGCTCGGTCTCAGGAGTAACTGCAGCAAACATCCGGCGGCTTCAAAGATTTTCGCTCAGGCGGTGCAACGCGCTGCCCCGGGAATGAAATTTTCTACTCTGAGTGTGTTTTCAGACCTGAAGACGGAGCCTCATGTCGACCGCTTCAACTCTCCTTTCCCTAACATTCTTGTGCCACTCAGCAATTTTCGGAAAGGAGAGGTCTGGGTCGAGTCAGCTCAGGGCGTTTTTCCTTGTGAGGTCGATGGTGTTACGAAGCGCGGCATCTTGATCGATGTTGCCTCCGGACCGAAGGCCTTCTATGCTTGCAGCCATGTGCACGCTACACGGCCGTGGAGCGGCCGACGCGTAGTCATAGTTGGTTTTTGTATTGCTAGGGTTCAGGAGCTTGACGTGGACTGTAGGGCGCGCTTGGCTGAGCTTGATTTCCCTGTGCCCCAGACGCCGCCCAACTTCAGCCCGGATTTGATCGAGGTCAGGGGTACCTTCCATGACCTCAGAAGTTCTCAAGTGGATGCAGCCTGTGATGCCCTCCCGGCTCAACTGCAAGCCGCCTCTCTGCTGTGCCTTGACCTCTTTTGCAATGCAGGCGAGTTCGGGGCCTCCCTGAAGGCAGCCGGATTCGATGTGCTCGCGATCGAGCAACCGCACCTGAAGCAGAGAGCTTTGCTCAGCGTTGTGTCGCTGGATCTTAGGAAGGCTGCCTCTTGGGACTTCCTAGTTAAGGTTGTGCTCGCTAGGAGGGTCGTCTTCGTGCTTGCCGCCCCCACTGTGGCCGCCTCTTCAGGCGACCTTCCCGAAGGTTTTGCCCAGGTGGCTTCCGAGCTCAGCTCATTCTTGGCATTGCCCGCCACTCTTGATATCGGATGGGGAGTCTTGAATCCGCTAAGCAGCCGGCTGTGGGCGACTTTGGCGCTGCCTGCCTCGCATGTCGTCAAGTTCGACCTGCTTGCCCATGGTGGCGAGCAACACCAGCAGATGCTGTTGCATACTAACGTCCAGACTTTGAGCGCCCTTGCTGTGCCGTGTGACGAAAGTCAGAAACCTCCTAAAACTTTCCGGTCAGTGACTTCCCTGCGGGACAGACCGCGTTTGTTGTGCAGTCGGTTCGCCGCCCAGATAGTTGTTTTCGCGGGGACCCTAGGGTTTGCTGTGTCTCCTGACGCCGTCAAGCCGTCGGCCAATCATCGGTCTTCCATTGCAGTGCAACGCCAACCCAAGGTTTCAAAGGCGCCGCCGCTCATGCCTGAATACAAGCATCGGGTCACTTTGCAGGTTCCATCCATGGATGCTCTCAGGTATGATGCCAAAAATTCCTTGACGGCCGCTTTTCAATCGGTGCCTGTTGGTGCCCGCATCCTTCAGGTGGTGCCTGTGCAAGGGGGCGAGGGTCCTTCAGGTTCGGGCTTTAGGGTTACTTTTGGGGTTTACAGAACCGAGGATGAGTTCGTCAGGACAGCAGTCACTCTGTCCCATCCTTTCGACTTGTCTTCGGCAGTGCCAGATGAGATGCTCGAGATTCTTGCGTTCACTCTCACCAAAGGGCCGTTGGCTGTCATGAGGCATCGCTTGGACACCTTGACGAAATGGAAAAAGTGGTCTCAGGAACTTCGTGGAGCAGAGGCCTCCTTGCACGCGAGGCTTCACCCAGATGTCGAGAAGATAGTTGCACGCAAGAACTTGACTCTCCTGCGACGTGTGGCTGAAGACTTGCAGTGGCCTGATGCCACGATAATCGACGACATCGAGAACGGCTTTGAGCTTGTGGGTGAGGCCAAGGTTACAGGCATCTTCGAGGTGGATCCGAAACCCTCTTCGATGTCCGTGGACGAGTTGCTTGATCATGCGAAGTTCTTGAAGCCAGCCCTGTGGGGCAAGGTGTCGGGAGATGCGAGCCACCCGGATGATCAGGAGCTCTGGGATCTCACTTGTGCTGAAGCCGATGAGAAAGGCTGGTTGCATGGGCCCTACACGTGGGAACAACTGCAGAACATGTTTGACTCAAAGTGGATACCTGTGCGCAGATTCTCCATCCGGCAAAAGAACAAATTGCGACCCATCGACGACCTGTCCGAGAATGCCGTCAATCAAGCTTGGACAGTGATGGAGAGGATAGGTTTGCGCGCGCTTGATGAAATCACTTGGGCCTGTATGGCTTTGATGAGGGCCAGCTTGGGCCGACGCGAAGTTTTCTTCCGGAAATCCGACGGCTCTGTTTTGTCTGGTCCTTTGCATTCGTATTGGCAGCAAGACACTCGTCGTTGCTCGCCGGTCTTGAAGACTACGGATCTGCGCTCAGCTTATAAACAGTTTGCTATCCGGCCAGGACATCATCGGATGTGCGTGGTGACCTTGAAGGATCCAGCGGACGGCTTAACAAAGGGATTCGTCTGCCGCGTGTTGCCGTTCGGGGCTTTGGCCTCGGTCGGGCAGTTCAACAGGTTTTCGAGGCTGTGGCAAAGGATTCTCTGGGAGCTGAAGCTCGCTGCGGCGAGCTATTTCGACGATTTTCCGTCGGTGGAGGTCAGGGCCCTTGCCGAGAACCATGATTCCTCAGTGAAGGCAGCGCTGCGACTTTTTGGAGTTGACTGGGCGAGCGACAAGGACCTTCCCTTCTCGCAGACAGCCGACGTCTTGGGCGTCCGACTGGACGCGACTGACACGGAGGGCGGAGTGCTGAGGGTCAGAAACAAGCCTGAGAGATCCAAGGAAATTGCTTCTTCGATCGACAAGATCCTTGCGGATGGCTGTATTGATCCAAAGCAGATCCCCTCTTTGTTTGGCCGGATACAGTTTTCGGAGAGTCAGTTGATGGGCCGACAGGGACGCTTGGCTTTGGCTCAGATTCGCTGGCTTTCGAGTGCTCGTCACCGTCACGTTCTATCTTCTTTAGACGCTACTGTCTTCAGAAGCTTGAGGGAGAGGATGCTTGAGGGCCGGCCACGCGAGATCCAGGTTCTTCCCGTTGGCGGCCAGACTCTCGTTTTCACTGATGGTGCATGCGACAAGCTGGGCGACAAGTTTAGCTGCTCAATCGGAGGTGTCATGTATCGGGTGCTTCCAACTGGTTCCTATGAGACGAGGGCGTTCGGGTGCTACCTGGACGAATCGGTCGTCGAGCAATGGGCGGGACTGGGGAAGAGACACTTGATAGGTCCTACCGAGCTTTTCGCGGTGGTGGCGGCCCGACACATGTCTGGAAAGATTTTCTGAATGATCAGAGGGTCGTCTTTTACGTGGACCACAGTGGAGTTTTGTCTGCGATGATCAAAGGGTCTTCACGCGATGATCTATGGAGGAGCATTTTGCTTCACTACGAGTGTGCCGACTCGCTGGGACCGGCGATCTCGTGGTTCGCTCGGGTCCCGAGCAAGTCGAATCCAGGCGATGGACCTTCAAGGTCCGACTGGAGGTTCCCTGTGTTCGGCGAGTACTTTGAAGATCGGATTGTGTGCTTCATCAGCGGCAGAGTTCTCAAAGTCACGGGGCAAAGAGTGCAGGGGTGAAAGATGCCCCATAACTTTTCTACGAGCCCGGAGGGGCTGTTGGCGAAGTGCCAACATGTGATGGGATCCCGAGGGGGATCATGAGCATGCACTTCTTTCCCCGAGAGGCTTTGCCATACCGAAAGAAAAGATTCTGTCGAGCGTAGTTTGTCCGAGTGCTGCTATTTCTGAGGCTCGTAAGCTCTCTAACAGGTCTCATTTCCACTTTTAATACATATGTGATTGAAGGACATATTTGAGTGGACTTAAAGAAAGGCCCGCATGACACATGAAGTCACATTGGTTATAAGCCGTTTTTGGGACGCTAAAAATCACAAACTAGTCCCATAAGGCTTTATAACCTTTTTGGTAGGTTTCGAAAGTTTTGAAGAAGTTTTTCGAAACCGCTTCATGTGTCATGAGATTCCACTTGAACTTTTACGAATCCTTGTTGTTTCCGCGCATGCTCAAACATAGGGTGGGTGGGCGGGAACCTTCCGTGCAGCAAAGTTTGTACCCACCACTCCCACCCAAACTTTGCGGGGTGAAAGATGCCCCATAACTTTTCTACGAGCCCGGAGGGGCTGTTGGCGAAGTGCCAACATGTGTTGGGATCCCGAGGGGGATCATGAGCATGCACTTCTTTCCCCGAGAGGCTTTGCCATACCGAAAGAAAAGATTCTGTCGAGCGTAGTTTGTCCGAGTGCTGCTATTTCTGAGGCTCGTAAGCTCTCTAACAGGTCTCATTTCCACTTTTAATACATATGTGATTGAAGGACATATTTGAGTGGACTTAAAGAAAGGCCCGCATGACACATGAAGTCACATTGGTTATAAAAAGAATGTAAAAGTGCCCAGCGCAGAACGGACCTGTGTGGAACCCCTAGCTGCAGCTGCAGCTCAGCACAGAGTGTTCAGTCAACCTGGCCGGGTCTTTGAAAAAAAGATGTCTTGCTCTTGCTCAGATGCAGTAATGCTGCCTGTTAGCTGCCATTATTTGGACAGTCGGGGGGACGTAGCCAGGAGGTTCGTCATTATTTCATTATTTGTTTGAAATGGTTAGGTCTGGGTCCACATGTTTGTGAAACTTACTTCCGAACAGTGCACTACAATATTTACAATACTACAATCACCAACTGTCAAAGTATTCCTGGACTCCTGGCAGTCTTGCTCCTGCAAGTTTTTGTGCGCTGGACTGAGACTTAGAGTGTGTGGCTGCTAGAGTCTGCAAGAGCTGCTAGAGTCTGCTAGAGACAGTTTGCAAATTGTGGCCGCAGGATCTTCCTGGTCTTCTTCCGCAAGGACAAATACACGGAGGCGGATGTGTCCCGCTTCGAAGCAATCGTTGAGGAGCTCAGCCTTCAGTATTGTAGTGTTATTACAGTTACAGTTACAGTTACTGTTACTGTAGTTTCTGCCGTCAGCGTTCAACCATCTTGTAGAATGTAGATTTGTAGATTGTAGATTGCAGATGAGAGTTTCTGGATTCGGGTTCTTGTTCTTATTGTTGTTATGTTCTAATACTCTATTACTATAGCTTCCCTTGTCTGAAAAGTCTTGACTTGTGCTGCACCGTTGCTGTCAGGACATTGTGCTGAAGCAGAAAGCTGCCGGCCCAGTCGATTGCGAGACCTTGCTGTCAGAAGAGAATGAGGACACGGACGGTGGTTCCAGAGTTAGTGACAGTTGGTGGTATTCACTGGTAGTGACGATGGAGCTTCAGGGTGGGTTGATTTAGAGCCATGAGAATGGAGTCCATCGGTGTCCATCCCTGAGCTTGTGCTGTAGCTGGCTTTGCCGATCCCATGAGTTAGCAGATCTCAGTCTCTTTAGTGAAGCGCGTTTGATCTTGCAGAATCTTGCAAGCTGCAAGCAGCAACACATGTCTGGTGAGTCTGCTGGTCGTTTAGTGATGTTTCGTGGCAAGTTTCGTGAGGAGGACGTGGCTGTTGGGCAGCCTCGGCAACTTCAGGCGTTTGCAGCACTGCTGTGTCCAGAACCTGGCAGACGTAGTTTCACTCCTTTGGCAGTCGGTCGCTGTGAACTCTTGACCATGCTTAGCCGTCTTACGAGTCTTAGCTGTCTTAGCTGCTTAGCTGTGGCTGTCGCTGTAATTACTGTGCTTGTTGCGAGGCTTCTGAACCCAACTTGGAAACTTGTTGCTGTTTCGTCGATGGTTCCTATGAAGTAAAGCCGCTGCCCTTCAGAGATCCCTTTCCAGGCCCTCCCCATCTCCCGACCCCCTCCCAAGCCTCGGCCCTGGGACTGCCCGGACCCCGGCCTTGCATTTTTTCGCATTTCAACGGAACGGCTTCCAGGACTAGTTCTTCTCTTACATTGGGAGAGCCATTTCCCTTGCATTTTCCAGTCCATGTGTTGTTGCATTTAATTCCCACTTACTCTCCTCTGGTTTCCATTTCATTCCCATTCAAATCCCATTTTTTTTGCATTTTGCCTAGCAAAATGCAAAAAAAATGGGATCTGAATGGACCAAAAATGGGGTCTGGAATGGGGTCTGGAATGGGGTCTGGAATGGCGGAAACATGGAGGTCCAAATGGGTTGAAAATGCCGCTTTCCAGGCCCAACCCGCCGGACCCAGCCAGCCCAGTCCCGAGCTCCCCGGATGCCCCGACCCCTTCCTCCTGGCTGTCCTGCCCGCCTGGCCTGGCACTGCCCTGCTGCCAGGTTTTGGACACTGATGACCCGACGGCGCCGAAGCCGAAGTGGTGGTTTGAGAGCTGCAGCTGGCGCGACAAGCTTGGTGTACTCCCTGATTATCGGCCTTGGACGAGCCGTCCGAACTTTCGTGGTTCAGGGCTGACTTTGAATCCTCGAATCTGTGATCTCATGGATTGTGTCGTGGCAGAACGGCTCATGTCTGTGAGAAAGCTAGGTGTGAGGCTGACTGATCGGCAGCTGCGGGACTTGATGCAAGGCGTTTGGTTGGACGTGTCGCAATCTCACAATCGAAAGGTTGTCAATAAGACCAGCGTCCACAGGACGCTGACAACCTCAAGCCAGGTGTATGTGTTTTCCAGAGATCGTGTTCTCACGGTAGATGAGCACTTTCGCCTGCAGGGGCATGACCCTGATGACTATCATTTTCCTGCTGACATGACAGACAACAAGAAGCGGAGCCTGGCGGGAGAGGGCTATGCACTGCCGTGCATAGGCACGATTATCTGGGCACTCTACCTCTGCAAACAGTTTCCTGAGTAAATCCGGACTTTTCAGCGATGTGCAGATTCCATGCCTTAATTCGATGGCTGCAAGCTGCAAGCCCTGCTCAGGGACAGCTCGGATCTGGTTGGACATTACGACAGCTTTCATGACAGGGAGAGAGAGTTGAGGGTTTCTGGATGGGGATGGTAAGGGTTTGCTTGGGGATACTTGGTTTTAGGTGTGGTGTTCAGGCTGCATGTGCAGGCTTTTGGGTTTGGGGTTCAGGCAGGCATAAAGGATGCAGCTACTTGTGAGGGGGGGGGGTCTGTCAGCCTTTGTGGGACTTGCTTTAATCGTCCATCTCTTATGCAACCCCAAACCGAAACTGAATCCCAAAACGAACCTTCAACCTTGCGCTTGCACCGTAGCCTTGCAAATTATCGTTAGGTCCAGCTGCTGAGAGAGAGGCTTCCTTGCAGCATTCGGCGAAGAAGTAGAGTGCGACATATAGTAGACTTGGAAAGTCAGGGTGACTTTACAAAGTAGGTAGTAGCAGGTAGTACATTAAGTAGACTTATTGAATGGGCTAGTTCCAATTACAATCCTTTTCAGGGTACTGATGAGTCTGCTTCGTCACAGTCTGTTTCGTCTACTTACCACTTACTTGCTTACTTACTTACTCAGTCATTAAGTTCCCTGCTTTCCAAGTATAGAGTAAACGACGTGGAGCGACGTCGAAGGAGCGACGTGGAGCGACGTCGAAGGGATGTTTTTTTCTCTGCCGGAACACTGTTCGTAACAGTGTTCCCTCTGGTGCCTTCTGTGGAGTGGCATGCTGGTGCAGTGGCCATGGTTTGGATAGATAGCCGCGTACCGGGTAGCAGTGCACTGTCCCATTTCTAGACTTTAGGTCACTCTAGGACTCTAGGTACCATGGTTCTATAGGGCATAGATTATGATTAGGATTCTTGGAATCATTGAATTTATATAGGCTGTGTCAATGCTATGCAGAAAATTGTTTGGGAACGGCCCAAAACAGTGATGTGATCGTGATCAACTCAGCATGCACACAGACTATCGTGTGATGCAGCGTTTGCATGACCCGACGCCGACACCAGGCCTGGCCACTGACATGGATCTAGGTAAAGTCCGAGAGCCTCCAAAATACCTGAAATAAGGAATGCACCTTAATTTGGAATAGGACTCCGAATAATCGAATATAGTTTAAGGTTTCTTGTAGTCACTGTAGTCACATTACTTATTTCAGGTGTTTTGGAGGCTCTGGGGAAGTAGTTCTCTACAGCGTCCAGGCAATGTGGTGCAGCGATAGCAGTGACGCTGTGCACGAGTGCTGTTCCAGCAGCTACACGCAAAGCCCAGCCTTATGCCTTGTAGGTTTTCACGTCTAAGCTGTAGGCCTATAGGCTCTGGGCCTAGGCTCATAAGCTTGTTAGTCGGTCATAGCAGTCCGGTTCATATTGCAGAAGCTGGCAGCCCATCACATTGCTAATGTGCCTGCGCGCTGAGGGAGTTTATAGAACAGTGCAGCCTTCCGAAGTTGATGC